GAGGGAGAGAGAGCGAGAGAGAGAGAGAAAGAGAAACAAAAGAGAAAGAGAGAGAGAGAGAAAGAGAACTTAACCCTTACAGACAAGCAGTTTTGGGGAGCAAAAGCAATCAAGCAATGCTTTACCTATTCCCCCCTCCTTCCGTCCCTGCCTCCATCCCACTTCCCCTTCCCTGCCCACCTGCTGCAGGGAGAGGAGGGGTGAGGGGAACGAGAAGGACGGGGAAGAGGAAGAGAAGGAGAAGGAGGAGAAGGAGAAGAGGAGGGAGGAGGAGGAGGAGGAGGAGGAGGAGGAGGAGGAGGAAGAGGAGGAGGAGGAGGAGGAGGAGGAGAGGAGGAGGGAGGGAGGGAGGAGGAGGAGGAAGGAAGGAGGAGGAGGAGGAGGAGGAGGAGGAGGAGGAGGAGGAGGAGGAGGGAGGAGGAGGAGGAGGAGGAGGAGGAGGAGGAGGAGGAGGGGGGAGGATCCCAAGGGGTCCAGAGAGGCGGACGACACCATCTCTCATATGGATTTGGGGCCGAGGGCTCTTTTCTGTAGGCTCTGGGGGCCCGAAGCAAGCTCCTACAGAGGGAGTTCAACCTTGTACGCCCGTGACAGCGACGCCGCCGCACCAGGACGACGCGAACCTGTAATGGATCAATTTTCCCTCAGAGTCCATCACCGGACCCCTCCTCCTCCTCCTCCTCCTCCTCCTCCTCCTCCTCCTCCTCCTCCTCCTCCTCCTCCATCACCGGACCCCTCTCGCACCCCATCAATTGCGCCGACTTTGGCTTCTGACACCACGTGGAACACGTGGACAAGCGTCAACGATCGTAGGTTTCCGATAACGCAAATTGTGCGACGTCGGCTCCATTCCAGGTCGCTGATGGCGTTCAACCTCGAACGCCCGCTCTGGGGTCGACGCCGCGTCGAGGCGGCGCAGAACCTGCCGTACACTCGGACGTCTTCGGGGGAACGGCCAAGGACTACTACTAAGCCAGGTTAGGGGCTAATCGAACGGGGTCAGAGCCAAAGGAGCACCAGATTACGCCTGACTGCGCCAAATGAAGCCGGATCAATCCAGACTAGGCCGGATTGGGCTGCATCAGGCCCAAGAAGAAGAGCGCCGACGTTCAAGTTAGCCTCCCAGGAGCTGCACCCGAACGTGCTTCCCTGACCTCCAGGGCTGGAGGCGGGAGCACGTGCTCCTCCCCGCCCCCCTCGGAGACAACGCCTCCGCCCCGCCAACCGATGATCTTCAGGAGGCGTGTTACAGTCAACCCGTATAATATGGACGCACGATAAGGCTGCAAGGGCCTTAAGAGGCCAGGTCGACACTTTGCGGGCGGGGCGCGGCCAGCGAAAGCGGCCACGGAGAGCCGAAGGGGAAGGTTGCAAGGGTGACCTTGGAAAGTCGCTCCATCCGTACTATGCGGGTTGACTGTAGCGCCGGCGTGTGCTCGCCCACCGAAGCCCTTCAGCACGACGCAGGCGGTGCAGAGAGAGCCAACATGGCTTCGCCCTGCAGGCGGAGCTTGACGGGATAAACACGCATTGGGCTAACACACGCCTTGAGTAGACAAGCGCGTTCCACTACTCGCAAAGTAACTGCTCACAAATGGCCTGGATCCGATGCAGGGCATCTACGATCCACTACATTCGGGGGCGGCCAAGAGGGGGGCGTCCAAGAGGGAAGGGGGGGCGCAAATCATGGCCGGCGGCATGTGCGCGGCTCAGGAGGGGGTCGGGACGTATTTGAAACCTTTCCTGACATGAACGGGAAGCGCGTGAAAGGACAGAGCTGCGCAAGAACGTGCAGCATCATCACGATAAAATGTAATGTGGGCGAGCTCTCCGAACGTCCACAGGGGATACCTACGGACACGCGCTCCCCGAACGTCCACAAGGAGAGTCATGATTATCCTCCCCACTTCTCTGTACGCCTCCAATGTCGTCCGTCTATCCCTCACTTATCTGATGTGTTCGAAGGCCCGTCCGAAGGCACACACACACACGCACACACACACACAGGAGGAAGAGGCTCTGGTACGTTTTAGAAGACCTCCTCAAAAGAATTTGCAAGGGGGATGTCTCGAGCGAAACGCTTACTTATCTGATGTGTTCGAGTAGGAGGGGGCGAAGGAGATGGAGGAACGTGAGGAGCAGACGGCCCTCACGACTGCCCAACAGAGCCTCACAATACGATCATATACAATAACTTAGTATAGAGGAAGTATCATATACAAGGACCATCGTACACGAGGAAGATCATGTACAACGAAGGCCAGATTCAAACAAGATCATATACAACCAAGGGGCCGCCCACCCGCCGTCTCGCATATTGGCGACTGCACCGCCCCTACTCCTGGGGGTCCCTGGGCGGCCATAGCGTATCCCTGGGATTGTCCAGGGCTTCAATGACGGCTCAGGAAGCCCACCCAGGCCACCAAGATAGCCCAGAATCGCTCCAAGGCGGCCCAAGATGGCCTCCAGGCGGCCCAAAAGGCCTCCAACATGCATATACAAGAAATGTCATAGACAAGGACGATCATATACAAGAACTTAGTATAGAGGAAGTATCATATACAAGGACCATCGTACACGAGGAAGATCATATACAACGAAGGCCAGATTCAAACAAGATCATATACAACCAAGGGGCCGCCCACCCGCCGTCTCGCATATAGGCGACTGCACCGCCCCTACTCCCGGGGGTCCCTGGGCGGCCATAGCGTATCTCTGGGATTGTCCAGGACTTCAATGACGGCCAAGGAAGCCCACCCAGGCCACCAAGATAGCCCAGAATCGCTCCAAGGCGGCCCAAGATGGCCTCCAGACGGCCCAAAAAGCCTCCAACACGCCCCAAGAGGCCTCCAAGAGCCCTGCCAAGAGACATCATATACAAGGAATGTCATAGACAAGGGCGATCATATACAAGAACTTAATATAGAGGAAGTATCATATACAAGGACCACCAATATCATATACAAGGTCTCAGTATCATATACAAGGTTATCCAAGAACACCCCGAAAATATGTCTCAAAGCAGCTCTTTCGACATCCCATGTTTTCCGAGGATGTCTCAGGCGAAACGGCCGTTTTTGAAGTTCCGAAAATTAGGCCAGCGATTTCAATATCCCGAATGTGTGAGGATGTCTCAGGCGAAACGCTCATTTTGTAACGTCTCAAGACACGACCCCCAACTTCACGATTTGGCGAGGACGTCTCAGGCGAGACGCTCGTTTGGGGAATCCGCCAGGCTCTGAATCACGAGGCGGCGCCGCACGTTCCCCCTCCAGACCTCCCCCAGTTGATAAGTAAATCCCTCTGGGCAAACAGACGTCCATCGCGCGACTCTTCGAGTCTTGGCGCGCTTCCCGTCATCCGCTGACCCCTTGTGGGTCTCTAGGCGTGTGAGATTGTTCCCCCCCAGAACCCCCCCCCAGGGACCCCAAACCGGAGATTTGACACACACAGACACACACACACACACACACACACACACGACCCCAGACGAACGCATCATGGGAGCATAGAGGGCCCCAAAACGGGCCAAGAGGGCTCCAAGTGGGCCCCAAGACGATCCAAGAGGGCCCCGAATCGTCGAATGATCGTTCCAAGACGCCCAAGTTGGCATCCACACGGCCCAAGATGCCTCGAAAACGCCCCAAGAGGCCTCCAAGAGGCCTCCCAAAAGGCACCGAAGAAGTGAAAATTGCCCCATTCCCTCGCCTCTCGCGCTTTCATACCGTGCAAGACGGCCCAAAAGACCCCTAGGACAGCTCCAAGACGGCCCACATGGGTCCCAAGACCGCCAAAGAAGCCCCGATGACGGCCCCAGAGGGTCCCCAAACGGCGCCAAAAGGGGGCCCACGGGGGGAACCCGAATCCACATTTCCAGCCTTCGGCCCCAGGACGCCCCCAGGTTGCCTCAAGAAGCCCCCAACACACCCCAAGAAGCCCCCAGGGAGCCCGAACAGAGCCCCCAAACGCCCCCAAGAGCCTCTCAGGAATCGGACAAGCCTCGTGGAATGCAGTCCTGGACGCGCAGCAGTGTATGGAGGGGTCGGCGGATGCGGCGCAAGGCTATAGAATAAGAGGAGGCACCACGAGATCCAGGGGGATATCATGCCCCCCGCCATGAGATCTACCCCCACCCTAGTCTTAAGTCGGGCCTGTCCCCCTACACGGGGATTTTCAACGAAAAATAAAAATAATGCTAACGGAGTTCCCCACATTAAGATATTAACGGATTCGTGGGACCCATGGGGTACGACAACATCAACACGAAGGAGAAGCTCATCGAACGAGTAAGTACGCACGAAGGGCAGACGAAAGAAACGAAGCCTTGTGAATAGTACGGTTTCTTGATACCCTCCTCGCTCTGGCGGGGCCCCGCTGCAAGGGGGGAGGGGCACGAAACCATGTAAATAGTATGGGTTTCTTGATACCCTCCTCGCTCTGGCGGGGCCTCCCTGGAGGGTATGGTATGGTATGGAATGGTAGGCATGGTATTGATATGGGAGGCGGGAGGCGGGAGGGAGAGGGAGAGGATGTTCTGGGAAAACAAGAACCCCACTCAGAATGTGGGGAAAAATACCCCAAACATAATCTAAAAAAATAGTATGGGGACTATCTTTTTAGTTATTTTGGGGGCATTTCTTATTTTTCGTCGAAAATCCCCCTGCAGGGGGACACGCCCGACTTAACCCTAGTCACCACCCCCCTCTTTGCCGACCCCGACACACCGAGGCGGACCCGCGTTTGGCCGGACGTCTGCGAGCAGGCAGTCTGCGAGCAGTTCAGCGCGCTCAGAGACGGAGGATCGTCGACCCAACGCCCCCCAGGTGCCGCCACCTCGTGGAACCCCGGAGGGAGGAGGAGGAGGAGGAGGAGGAGGAGGAGGAGGAGGAGGAGGAGGAGGAGGAGGAGGAGGAGGAGGGAGGAGGAGGAGGAGGAGGAGGAGGAGGAGGAGGAGGAGGAGAAGGAGGAGGAGAAGGAGGAGGAGGAGGAGGAGGGACCGCCCTGCCATCCCCCGTCCCAAGTGGAGCCGCCAGAGCCTGCGAGGCCGCGCTCACGCGGCAGTCACCCCCGGGCCGGGAGCCTCGTGCCCGGCCCGCGCGCGCTCCTGGGGCATCGCCGGGGCTCGCATCGGCGGCGCCACTGCCCCGGCCTTATGTTGTTCCATCGTACTGAAGGAGCACATCCCAGAAATAATCTCGAGCACCGTGAAAGGTATCGAAACAGTGTCTGCCCGACACGCTAGCGAAGTGTCGCCCCCCAGGGCCCGACACCTGAGAAACCCCCCAGTTCGGGTACTGTCCTGGCGCTAATTCTTTCTGGTGATCAAGGCTAAAGTAGGTCGGAACATCATAACCTCGGCCCCCTCGCGTCGCGGACGAATCGCGGCGGCAGGTTTCTGCCACTTTTCGGCCTCACCTTAGGTCGGGCACGTCCTCCTATACAAGGAGATGTTGGACGAAAAACTAAACATTCACAACGAATGTGATCAAAAATTGTCAATCTAATACTCGAAAAAGCGTCCCCAGACCATTTTGCTTTACTATGTTTGAATATTCCTCCTGTAGAGGGACGTGCCCGACTTAAGCCTAACCGGGCCCCAGGACCGTCAGAAAACGACCCGGGATGCGAATCGGGTCCCATGGGAACTGTCCAGGACCTCCAAAGATCCACGTTGCGAAAGAAACATGACGTCAAGGGTCTGGGTCTCCCTTGCTCTCGCCCCGCTGCCACGCGGAGGACTTCTAAGATAGAGGCCAGAGGTTCTTGGATGCCTTTACGCCTTATGGGCTTCCGCAGGCGCCCCTTCTCGCCACGGCCGGCTCCGCCTCGAAGTCCTGGCCAAAGCGCGCCCCAGAGCAGGTTTAGGGCTAGGTCGGGCATGTCCTCCTACAGGCGGATTGTGGACGAAAAACAAAAAATAGCCAAAACATAACCAAGAATTATTCAAAAAATGCTGAAAAAAACATCGCCCCCAGGCAATTGTGTACTCTTTTTGAATATTGCTCCTGTAGAGGGACAGGCTCGACTTGAGTTTAGGGGTCGACCGCGAGGGGGAGAACCCAGGCCTCCACTCACCTGTCAGTCCTGGCGTTTTGCCTGCTTTCGATCGGCTTCTGGCGGGGCCCTTCTCTGCGGGGGTTCGCGACCACGACAGCGTCGGCGATCTGGGCCCCCACCGTGCTCCCTCCTCCTCCTCCTCCTCCTCCTCCTCCTCCTCCTCCTCCTCCTCCTCCTCCTCCTCCTCTCCTCCTCCTCTCCCTCCTCTCCTCCTCCTCTCCTCCCTCCCTCCTCCCTCCTCCTCCTCCTCCTCCTCCTGCTCCTCCTCTCCTCCTCCTCCTCCTCTCCCTCTCTCTCCTCCTCTCCTCTCCTCCTCCTCCTCCTCCTCCTCCTCCTCCTCCTCCTCCTCCTCCTCCTCACACACCGCCCACAGGCTGCTTGTCCGGTGAGGGGCACGGCGCTGCCCCGCTCCCTCGATGAACCGCCCCCGTTCGTCTCCCGAGCCACCTGTTCTTTACGCTGCTGATGTAGGCGCTCCGGCGCCAGCAGCCGCACAGAGGCACGTTTCAGTGCAGAGCCCCGCGTCGCACACACCTCCACCCACTCCTCCCTCCTTCCTCGGGGGCGCGCAAACATGGATTGGCGATCCATGGATTTGGCGCGCGGTCGCCACATCCATGGATTTGGCGCGCCGTCGCCACATCCAGCTGGCCATAAACATGTGGATGAGTAAATCGTAAGAGCGGTGTGGTATCGAAGTCCACCACCGTGCCTCGTGCACGCTACGGCGTGGAAGAATGCCAGGGCTGCCTGGTGCGGTTTCTGTCTTGCTGCAAGGGACCCCCCCCTACCAGCATGATTTGTATGCATCGCACCCCCTGCCGAGGCCAAAATCCTTACACAACAATTGGCTTGTTGTGGGTACCGTCGTCGTATGCACCGCATTCGGTGGAGCTCCTCATAGGGCCACGAAACGTATGAGGGGTGCGGGCGCATGCGAGCGCTGGCATGTAGGCCTTCGGTGGAGCTCCCCATGGAGCCAAGAAACGTTTGAGGGATGGGCCAAAACGGGTGCGGTGGGCGCGTGCGAGCGCTGGCATCTGGGCCTCCGATAGAGCTCCTGATGATGATGCTGATGATGATGGGCGAGGGAGGAGGATGGGGAGGAGGATGGAAGGAAGGAAGGAAGGAAGGAGTGACGCGGGACGCTCTCTTCAAAACAAGGACCCAACACCGCAGGTTGGTTGGGAACAGTGGATCTGCACCCGCAGCTTCCAAGACGACCCGCGCAGGCAATCAAGGACGCCAACATTGCCCAAGATGCCCCGGATACGGCATACGATGGCCCAAAGGCAGCCCAAGATGACCTGAAGATGGCCCAGGATGCCTCCAAGAGGGCCCAAGAGGGCCCAAAGGGGCCACATGAGGACGTCCAAAGGTTCCTGAAGCCAAAATCATGGATGTCACTTGGTCTTTGAATGTATTTTGAAGCGTTTTCTGACTTTCGTCAGCACAAGACGGCCCAAGAACCCTCCACGATGGTCCCAAGAAGGCCCCAGAGGCCCCCAAGAGGATCCCAACATGACCTCAGGGGCCCCACGATGACCCAACAAGCATCCAAGACGGCCCCAAGACGGCCCAAGAGGACGTCCCGTGGAACCCAAGACGGCACTAGAAGGAAGAGGGCACAAGAAGGTCCCGAGACGGCCCAAGGGACCCCAAGGCTGCCTTACAGGAGGTCAAGACAACCCCAGAGCGGCCCAAACGAGTTCCATGCGAGCTCCTCAAATAGTGCAAACAAAACGTGTCACATGTAACAGCCTTCCGCTTTTTCATCCTTCTGCTCCTGCTCCTCTCCTGCTCCTTTCCCTGATAAAACAAGGTGCGAGCACTGAGGGGGGGGCACTTCAATCGAAAAATTCAATGGTTCAATGGTTACCAGAGGGGGAATCAACGAACATTATTCTTTAGAAATGAGAGCTCAGCAATAATAATAATAATAATAATAATAATAATAATGACGACGGCGACGGCGACTACGACGACGGCGACGACGACGACGACGACAACAACAACAACAATCAGTTTAAGACTGTTCGCTCTTACTGGAACGCGTGTTTTGCATTCCTGAAGGGGCCCTGGGATACACAAACAAATAGACACAGAAAACAGGACTCCCCGTATTTTCACACATTGTCTGGGTTTCTGTCTCCCCCCCACTTCCCACTGTTGAGGCCCAGTAAAGCGACCGGCGTGCTGACCCCCCCCCCCCCCTTCGCGACAGGAGGTGCGTCGCGCATTCGTCGCCCGTGCGCCGCCCGTGCGTCGGCCGCCGAAATGGCCAGCCGTCCTCTCGAACGTGCACGTCGCGCTCGCAAGGGGGCAATTTGCTGAGTGCGTCGCCAGCGCGGCGGACACCCACGGGGCGGATCGCGCGCGCGTCGCCCTCTCCACGGCCGCTGAAAAGGCTGGTCGCCTTCTGGAAACAGAAAGTCGCCCACGCTGCGGCCCTCTTGGCGAGAAGAAGGCGGCCGCTGGGCGACCTCGGCAGATCAGCAAATCCCCTAACATTACACATGCAGCGACGCTGCTGAACGCAGCCCGGCGATAGGCCAGCAGGTCCCCGCAGCCGCCGCCACAACCGCCGCAACCGCCGCCAGCACAAAACTACCGCCGCCACGATCACCACAAACGGATGCGGCCGCAACCACATCCACCGCGACGATAACGACCAACACCAATTACCGCCATCACCACCACCACGACCACCACGCTTCTCGCGACCGCCACAACGACCGACACCAGCACGATCACCGACGTGACCACCACCAGCCCGCCCACCACCAGCGGCACGACCGCCGCCGACGCGACCAAGGCGACGAACGCGACCACGACCATGATCACCAACATGACCATTACAGAAGCACCCGCCCACTCCGTCCTCCCCCCCCTCCCCCCCATTCCCCTGCCGGGCCGCCCTTGCCGCAGCGCCCGCCTCGCGCCCCTGCCCCTCCCCCCTCCTTTTCTCCTCGTAATTTTCCTCCTCCACCGCCGGCGGCGGGGCCGTTAGCGGAGGGCGGGGGCGCCGCTCGCGGCGACGCGCCGCGGCCGTGGAAGGGGGGCCGAAGGAGAACAGAAAATGAAGAGGGGCACGGGGTGGCAAGGGGAAAAAAACAAAGACGAGAGAACAGGGGGGAGGGACAGACAGAGGGTGGCCGGCAGAATGGAGGAGGAGAAGGGGAGGAGAGAGGGAGACGAGGCAGGAGAGAGGACGAAGGAGGAGGAATGACAAAAGAGGAGGGACGACGACGAAGAAAAAGGGAACTAACAGGGGCAAGCACCGCCCTTCCTGGCGCAATGGAGGACGCAGCCGCCGCCACTTGTGAACAGCGCAAGCACGGCGGGCCGACGGCCGTTGCGCATTGCTGCTCGGAGACATGCTAGGGGCGGGCAAAGTCGCGACTGCGTCGCGCATGCGTCGCGCGTGCGTCGCGCGTGCGTCGCGCGTGCGTCGCGCGTGCGTCGCGCGTGCGTCGCGCGTGCGTCGCGCGTGCGTCGCGCGCGTGGCGCGCGCGTCGCGCGTGCGTCGCGCGGGTCGATCGTGCGTCGCGCGCTGGCAGGGGTGCGTCGCGCGCGGGTCGGGGTGCGTCGCGCGCGCGTCGCGCGCGCGTCGCGCGTGCGTCGCGCGGGCGTCGCTCGGGTCGTTCGCGCGTCGCGCGCAGGTCGCGCGCGAATCGCTCGAAGGGCGCCGCGGGCTCCTGACGGCATGTGAACTGCACGGCCCGCTGGCGAAACAATCAAGGGATGCGCGCGGCAATCGTAGAAATAGCGAGACACACACGTGAGAACAACGAACGCGAGGAGACCAATAGACGACATGGAGATGCAGCGCGCGCGGACTAATCCATTTCAAGCGCACGCCCCGTCAGATTTTGAACATCGGTCCGTCGCTGCAGCAATTTGGCGACGTCTCGCCCGCCGATGCATTAGGGGGGGGAAAGAGGGCGGAAGTGAGGCGAGGGAAGGGCAAGCGGAAATGGGAACGGACGGGCGAGGAGGGGGCGCGCGGGGGCGGCGCAGCGGCGGCGGGAGCGATGGAAGGCGATCGAAGGGGGGCGGCGGGAGCGAGGAGGGTGAGAAGAAGTTTCAGGAGAGTGGAAGGACAACGGGGGGTGAGTAGGGAGGCGGACAGGACGGCAGCCTGACACAAAAGGACTGAATACAAATTTCGCAAACGGGACAAAACGCGCAGCGCGTTGGACGAGGGGAAAAGAAGAGGGGGGGGGCAGGAGGATTGGCGCGAAACGACATGGGGGTGCGGGGCGCGATGCGACGGGGCGAAAAGGCGCCGCGTCGCGCGACGTGACGTCGCCCCCACCGTGGCGCGACGCGCGCAGCCCCCAATCAACGCGAGGCGTCTTCGTCCTTAGCAACGGTTGGCGCCCCCGACAATGAGCACCAGCAAATCCTCTTGCGCCGAATTGGGAACAGAACGCGTTGGTGGACCGTCGAACTAGGAGTGCGCCGCGACCGCCAAAATGGCTGCTGGCGCACCGGCGTCGGAAACCTATATATCGCCAGAGAAATTCCGAAGTCGCGCCATATGTCGCCCACGCACCCTGGGAGGCCGGGATTTGGGACAGAGACGCAAACCAGGGCCGGCGCACGGGCGACGCTCGGGCGACGCACTGAACGAAACTTACAGGGGGGGGGTCGCTTCACTGGGCCTTAACACTTCCCATGTTTGATATTTTCCGTGGAATCGACGATCAATTGTGTCTGTGTTTTTTCCCTCCTGAATTCCGTGTACCCCAACCCTCGATACCCACCCACTTCGTTTTCGATTGCACCCCCTTTCGGGGGGAATCTCTTCCTTGCCGGCCATTGAAGTGCGAAGAAGTCTCGAGCGAGAGCGCCGTTCCTGACTTCGGGGGCCTCTCTGACCAGGGACTCTCGGAATACCGATGGAGAAATATCGAACGGGAGCCCTTGTCGCCGTGTCCGGGCCTCCACCAACTTGCCTGGATTACGGGAAAGTCTGGAGCGACAGCGCCGTTCCTGAGTTCGGGGGCCTTCTTGGCCAGGGGCTCTCAGAGTAAATCGTGAGGAAATATCGAATAGGGGCCCTTGTCGTCGTGGCTGGGCCTCCGTCAAAAGCCTCGAGCGAGAGCACCGTTTCTGAGTTCGGGGGCCTCTCTGGCCAGGGTGTCTCGGGGCAAACTGTGAGGAAGTATCGAGCGGGAGCCGTTGTTGTCGTAGCTGGGCCCCCAAGGGCCCACACTTAGGCTCAAGCCAACGCTCGAACGGGAGCCTCGTGTTCAAAGAAAATGCAGCCGGCGTCGAAGCGAGAGCGCGTTGAACCCTTTCCGGAGGTCAACTATAATAAATGTTTGGAAATGAGTATTCAGCACCAGCAACAACAACCACCACCACCAGAACAACAACAAAACTCAACGGCTCTCGCGGAGGCGCTCTGCGAGCGCTGGGACATCAGCATGGAGCAGAGGTCGCACTCCCATCGCGACCTGGGGGGCGACGCGACGGCCGGGCGCCTGAGGCGCGTGGGCACGCAGAGCCAGCTTTTTGCAGAAGTTCAGGCTCGCGGCACACGCCTTGAGCAGTTTCGCCGGGCAGGTGCGCCGATCGCGTCTGTCCACCGCGCTGGTCCAAGCGCGATGGCATTGTGGGGCACCGCGATCCAGGGCGTGCCAAATGGAAAGCTCAAAGGGCTACGGGCTGCCGCGCTCCGCGCCGCGGGGCGCCTCCCCCGAGGGGCCTCCCTTGGGCTAGCCACGGCCAGCTGGCGCGCCGGCTGGAGGCGCAACCCGTTCGTGCTGGTCACAGCGCTGGCCATCCAGGCGTACGTCGAAATTGTTTGGAACGGCGTCTTCCAGCGGTCCTTGCTGCAGGTGCTATTGGATGGCGCTCGGCAGGAGGCGACGCAGCGCTTCCCGTGGGCGCGCTGCAGCAACCCGATCATGGCCTCAGGCGGGCTCAGCGAGGCCTGCCCTGCGGCACGCATTGGTGCCAGGCCCGCCTCTGCAGGGAGGGGGAGGGGCTGGGGCTTTCCGACCTTTGCCAGTGCTGCCGCGGCGCGCCCGGCACCCTGCATCATAGATTTTTCCAGTGCCCAGCGAACCACGCCTGGAGGGCGGACAGTCTAGGCCCAGCGGTGCGCGATGACGCCGCTCGAGTGCTGGAGAGCGGGGAGGAGGCCGGGAAACGTTTTGCACGAGTGCTCTTGCCTGATCCTGCCCAGTGTTTTCGGAGGCCGCCGTTGCCGCCTGGCGCCGAGCTCCGGGCGGAGCATTGGCTGTTAAGCGGCCTCATGCTCGACGGCGGGCACATTTTCACCGATGGAGCTTGTTTCGACGCCGGACTCCCCACCTTGAGGGTTGCTGGTTGGGCCGCGGTTGCCCACGTCGCCGACTTTCGTCTCTTAGGCTCTCTGCGCGGGGTGGTGCCTCAAAATCTGTGCCCGTCCCAGTCCGCCAGGGATGGGGAGGATTATGCTGTCCTAGTGGCGTCAAGGCGCTCCGCCGGCCGCTACACGCTGCATTCGGACTGTAGTGCACGGTCGCGTGCGGGCAAAACCTGGCGAGCGCCAGCGGGCCAGGCCAGCCCCGTGCCCACATGTGGCGCCAGGCGGCTGCTGGCGATGCGCTCGAGGACGTGACCTTTCTAAGGTCCTCGCGCACGCGACGTGGAACGACGTCGTGGAGGGGCGAAGCGCGGCTTTGCAGCGCAACGGGAATCACGAGGCCGACGCCCTAGCAAAGGCCGGGGCGGCCGAAGGCCGGCAGGCCGAAGATGACCGCGTTTTCCCTTTTGGGTGCCTCCATCTTGCGCGGCTCCTCACCCGATACACGGGGCGCATGGAGGCCGTGCTGACTGAAGCCGGCACTCGCTACCATCAAGACCTCGAGGCCCTCCGCACCTCGGGATCTGAGGGCGAGTTTGGGGGAGCTCGGGGAGTATCGCACGCTGATGCTGCAGGCGCTGGCTCAGCCCCAGCGGCGAACGCAGGCGCGGCCGCTCGTCCAGGCTGGATCTCGAGGCGCGCGCGGGCGCTCCGCCTCAAATTTGGCCCTGGCGAGTGCGCGGGCACAGCCTCCTTGCTGCCCAGATTCGCGAGTGGCGAGGCCCAGAGGGTGGTCCCCGGGGCGCGTCCTCATCAATGCTATTTTGTACGACTTGTTGGGGTCACGCCACGTGCCCTGGTCGGGGCCATGGGCTCTTAGCGCCCTGTCCGCCTAGGGACGGTGAGCCACCCCCGAGAGCAAAGAATGCACGCAGCCGCGTCGGCCGTGGGATGCACCCCCACTGGGCCTGGGATGCGGCCATCGACGAGGCATGCAGCCCGTCGGAGGCGGTACGGGCGTCCTGGGCCAGCCATTTCGGATTGGAAGGCGCCGAAGGGGGCTCTGTGGCCCGCACCGCCGAGGCTCCGCTAGGCCCTCCTGTTCGGTGGGGCGCACCATGCCCAAGGGTGGAACTGAGCGACGCCTTACTAGCATTCGGTTTTCGCACGCGCGGCCAGGCTGAGGAGCTTGGCCGCGAGGCGCAGCGGCTGGCCGCGGAGCGGGCCAGCCGGCTCGCAGCCACGAGTGCCATCGAGGAGGGATAGTTTCGGCGGACCTCCCTCTTCTCCTCCTCCTTCTGGAGTCGCGCACCTCCTCCTCCTCCTCCTCCTCCTCCTCCTCCTCCTCCTCCTCCTCCTCCTCCTCCTCCTCCTCCTCCTACTTCTCCCTGTCGCACCCCGAAGCAAGTTTTTAGGGTGGGTCGGGCGTTTCGCCCGAAACTTCCTTACCATGTATGACTCTGAAGCTTAAACATTGGCACCAGCTTCACAGATGGAGGGCGGGTCGTTTTCAGAATGTGGCTCTCGCCTTAGCGCGGCGCACATTCGCTTCAAACATTTGCAAGAGCTCCACGGATTGAGGGCGGGTCGTTTTCAAATGTGGCTCTCGCCTCGGCACCGCGCACATTCGTTTTCAAACTAAGAGTTTCACGGATTGAGGGCGGGTCGATTTCAAAATGTGGCTCTCGACTTAGCGACGCGCACATTCGTTCTAAATATTTGCAAGAGCTTCACAGATTGAGGGCGGGTGGTTTTCAAAATGCGGTTTTCGCCTTAGCGCCGCGCACATTCGTTTTCAAAAAGGCAAGAGTTTCACGGATCGAGGGCGAGTGGCTTTCAAAATGTGGCTCTCGCCTTAGCGCCGCTCACATTCGTTTAAACAATGCCATAGCTTCACGGATTGAAGGCGGCTCATTTTCAAAATGTGACTTTCGCCTTGGCGCTGCGAACATCCGTTTTAAAAAGTGTAAGAGTTTCACGGGTTCCCATCAGCAACGTACCAAAAATTGCGTGGTGGAAGGATTCAGGATTATACGGGTGCAAAGGTTACGTTGGTTCTCTGTGTTGAAGTCCTAGGAGTGGCTTTCTGGTACGATTCGGAATCGTCAAGATGCAGCAGCCAGGTTGACCTGTGGCGTTGGAATCCCGAGAACAATGTTTTGGCATGCTTCAGGGTCTTCATACGGGTGTCTTCCAACGAGGCAGTTCCATCAATGGAAATGAACCCACTGTAGGGGCCTATGAAGAGGAAGCTTGGAGGAGGGTTTACTCCATCATCGTTGATGACTCTTGGGTTTACACTGCTCCTCCTCCTCCTCCTCCTCCTCCTCCTCCTCCTCCTCCTCCTCCTCCTCCTCCTCCTCCTCCTCCTCCTCCTCCCTCCCCCTCCCCCTCCCCCTCCCGCCTCCCCCCTCCTCCTCCCCCCACCCTTGCTCCGCAGGGGCGCGAAGCAGGGGCGCGAAACGAGGGAATCGCGGCGGCGGCGCGGAAAGAGAGCCCGGGAGGAGCCCTGGTCTCCTCCGCCTGCTGCAAAGTCCACTTCATCGCGGCGTGCTTCGCCTCCTCCTCGGGGACACGACGACGACGACAACGAGCGGAGAGCGCGCACGCTGCCGGGCGGCAAGATGAGGCCCTTCAGTCTAACACGCCCTCCTATTCATCATCTCTCATAGCTCCCCCGCCGTCGCCTTTCCCTCTTCCTCCTCTTCCTCCGCCTCCTCCTCCGCCTCCTCCTCCACCTCGTTGCCCCCGTCCCCTATCCTCCATCCCTGTTCCTTCTAGACAGCTCCCCCCTGTCGCACCCCGAGGCCAATCGAAAGGGCGGACCAAACGTTTCGCCTGAGATGTCCTCACCGCTTGTGATCCTGGAGCTAAAAAATTGGTTAACGTTTCACGGATGGAAGCGCACGGGGTTTGGTGCAAGAAGACAATGGGAAACCCCATATCCTCCTCCCCTCCTCATCCTCCTCCTCCTCCTCCTCCTCCACCTCCTGTTCCTCCTCCTCTTCGTCATCATCGTCAGCATCATCATCATAATCGTCGTCGCCGACAACATCATAATCGTCATCATATCATCGTCATCATCATCATCATCAGCATCATCATCATCATCAGCAGCAGCAGCATCAGCAGCATCATCATCATCATCATCATCATCAGCATCATCATCATCATCACCACCACCCTCACCATCATCATCATCATCATCATCATCATCATCATCATCATCATCATCATCATCGTCATCATCCTCCCATCATCATATCATCAGCATTACCATCCTCACCATCCTCAACCTCATCAGCATCAGCATCGCCATCATCATAATCCCCATAATGAAAACCATCTTCATGATCACCATCATCAAAAACATCAGCATCATCATCATATCATCATCATCATCATCATCATCATCATCATCATCATCATCATCATCATCATCATCATCATCATCATCGTCATCATCGTCATCATCCTCCCATCATCTTATTCCTCATAATCAGCATCACCATAATCAGCATCATCGTCGTCCTCGTCATCAGCATCACCACCACCACCACCACCACAACCACCGTCATCATCATCATCATCACCATCATCATCATCATCATCATCATCATCAGCAGCATCCTCATAAGCATCATCATCAGCAGTATCACCATCATAACCAACATTATCAATATCACCCTCGTCACCATCAGCATCATCAGCATCACCGTCAACATTAGCATCCGCATCATCATCGTCATCACCATCTTAATCAGCTGCACATCATTAGCAGCAGCAGCATCACAGTCATAAGCATCACCATCATAATCATAAGCACCAGCAGCATCGTCATCATCACTATCATCATCATCATCATCATCATCATCATCATCATCATCAGCATCATCATCATCCTCCTCCTCCTCCTCCTCATCATCATCATCATCATCATCATCACATCATCATCATCATCATCATCATCATCATCATCATCATCATCATCATCATCATCATCATCATCATTATCAGCATCGGTAACAGTATCATCACCATCAGCACCATCATCAGCATTACCATCCTCACCATCCTCAACCTCATCAGCATCAGCATCGCCATCATCAGAATCCCCATCATGAAAACCATCTTCATGATCACCATCATCAAAAACATCATCATCATCATCTTCATCATCTTCATCATCATCTTCACCATCTTCATCATCATCTTCATCATCTTCATCATCATAGTCAGCATCGTCATCGCCATCATCATCAGTATCATCAGCATCACCAGCAAAATCAGCATCATTCTCATCATCCCCGTCATCATCAGCATCATCAGAATCATCGAAAACGCCTGCTTCCCCTCGTCCTCGACCTCCATCTCCTCCTCCGCCGCCACCGCCGACGCCGCCTTCTCTCCCTCCTCATCCTCATCGAGCCCTTCATGGCGATCATGGGAGAGGGCGGGGGCGAAGATGATTATGACGATGAGGAGGAGGAGGAGGAAGAGGACGAGGAGGAGGAGGAGGAGGACGAGGAGACGACCGCAAAGGGGGGGTCCCGGTCAACTTGTTGGGGGGGCAGCAGGGCGGCGGCGCCCCGCCCGCGCTGTGCCAGCGGCTCTTTCAGCACGAGGAACAGCAGGAGAGGGGCAGGCAGCCTTCAGTCGGGCCTGTCCCTCAAACAAACAAAAAAAAACTGGGGGCGATGTCGGACTATGTTTGACTAGTTCGGGCTATGTTTTGTTTGTGATTAATTTTCCGTCCAGAATCCCCCTGAAGGAAGAGATGCCGGACCTAAAGGCATCCGCGTAAGCAGCACTCGGGAGCAAGGCACCCGGATGTTAGGAAAGGTCAGGCGGGCTGGGACGATCGAGGCCATCAAGGCGCACATGAGCGGGAGCAGAGGACGGGAGGGCAACGGCATCAGCAGCGCACGGGAGCGAAGGACCGAGATGGGGAAGCGGCCAGGCAACACCAGTGTGAGAAAGCACGGCTTCGCGAGGAGCACAACCCTCGTCTCATTCTGGGACAAGAGGCGAACAATGACAGGTGGGTAGGCCAGGACGCTGACACACAGGTGATATGCTCGAGACTGGGGGAGCTGGCAATAGGGGTGCGAGCAGGTGCAACGGCAAGATAACGTTCCGAGCACATTCGATCAGATGAAGCACCTGACGACCGCTGCCATCATTGACAGCGCCACTGACCACGACGGGCTGAATACCGAAAACGCAATGAACCCAGTCGACAGATACGATCCGATAGGACACGCCAGCGTAGCACACGAAGCATTAGGAGTCGGGGCGGCGACCATTCCCATCATCATTTCAAGTTCGAAAGATCATCAACCCACTGCCACACCTGCAACGCATGAAAAGACGGCAAGACGAGAGCACACAAGGGAGCACACTCCTCATCGGATCGAGCGGGCGAAGCGATAAGAGACGAAGGCGTCGACGGCGAGCGACGGGATGGCGTCGCGATCAGCGCGACAGGTGTCGGCGGAGAACCGCACGCGGGAGCCAGCTTGGGCGACGAGCACGGAGACCCAGCTGGACGGGCAGTCGGGGCGCGCGGACTGGTCGCAGCCCCACCCCCCTCAGGCTGACGAGGTAGAAGAGGAGCTAGATGCAAAGGACGACGAGGACGCCGAGGCCCTCCACGGCGCGGGCGCCAACCGCGAGCGTTCGGCCCGCGAAAGCGACCGTGGCTCAGCAATTCTCATAGAGCGGACACCCGCCAGAGCAGCATCCGAATCTCAGACGACGGCAGCGGCCATGAACTCGAGCCTGGCGACGTTGCACGTCGCACGCCGCCGCCACGCACGCAAAGGACAGCAACGGTGGTCGCACCAGCGCACACTTCGCCATAACCTCACGCGGGAGAGAGCGAGCGAAGGCCACATCCATTGCCTCGGGGAGCCGCGGGCACCGAAGGTCATGGGCAAGAGCATCACGATGGGCCAGACATACGAACGCACTGCATCTCACGCCTGCAGGGCGCAATATCAGCAAGGACGTCAGCCACCCGTCACGCCACGTCCACGGGGCAGCCCAGGCCCAGGAACACGGGCATCGTCTCATCAAGAGGAAGGCGGCCCCCGATCGATCGTCTCGAGAATCTCTGGACGCGCGCCCGTAAACTTGAACAGCCCGCGCACGACGCGGGCCTTGAGCGGAGCCACTTCGCCGTCCCGAGCGCGCACAACACGGCGGGTAGCACGACGAGGGCGGGCGCCGCCACCGGCATCAGGAGCAAGCGCTCCAATCGCAGCAGGCCGACCACGGACCGGGAGAACAGCCCATGGCCCAGGAGCTTGGGACACCGCCGCCGCCACATGCACGTTCTCGACCAGGGCCTCAGAGCGCCAGCGCGCAGGGCAAGGTCTCCCCGCGCTCAACATCACGAGCGCGCGCCTCTCGGGAGAAGCCTCGGCGCGACGGCGCAACTCGTCTGATGCCAGACGGCACCGCGGGAAGGCGCGGCGGGCAGCTCGCAGCAGGGACGCACAGTTCAGGCGAGCCCGGCGGACAGCCCGAGGCCCATTCCACATGTCCATATGCGACCACGCTTCGATCGGGAAGGCGCCCAATGCCACGCGAAAGACCTGCGCTGGGACTCCTGGCTCTAGACGAGGACGGCAGATGGGAGCCAACAGAATTGAGCAACGCACGAGCGAGTTGCCACGATACGCGCATTGTACAGGACGGAAGACATGCTGGCAGGGGTCAGTCCTCGACCCACAGCTCGAGCCCGAACGCGAAGTTTGGCGATGGGGTCCTCCCCGAGCCTCGTGGAGTCCACTGCCGGACCTGACCAGACACCCAGGTACAGTAATGAGTCGACGACCTCGAAGCTGGCCAACTCGGGGACCGCCCCCTCCACCTGCACACGTCGAGCCGCCGCCAGGGCAGATCTCATGAGCTCGAACGTCGGGGCGGCGGGGGGGGAAGCCGCATCTTCAATGGCAGGGGGGGGCGCCGAACGCAGGGCCCCGCAAGGACCTTCTCCCAGGGCTTCACTGGAGAACGCAAGGGCCCAGCACCAACGGAAGTGATCACGCCGCTGATCAGGAGAACCCGCAGCACGTTGAGAGATGGGGCCGAGGACAGCCGCAAGGCGCGCACGCCGACTGAAGGGGGACCAGATCCTCGACCGTCGCCCCGGGGATTTACCTTGAGCTCGCAGTCGGGTCGAATCGCCATCCTGCCCCCGCCGCCGACTAAGCTCACTCCTAGCAATGTCGGCCGCCTCGCACTACGCCCTCGGGCCAGGCAAGAAGGGGCTCGGGACAGCTCCAGCTTCGCAGATCAAGAAGTCCGACGCCACGGGATAGGAGCCAATCAACCTCCGGGCCAGCACAACGCCCAGTTTCCACACCACTGTCGCGATCGACCTCACAAGCAACAGAGTGCGAGGGTGGTGATGACGAGCACGGAATAGAGCATCCCGAGGTTCCTCGGCAGCCAACCACATGAGTTCCTACATCGCTGAATACGCCGCGGAGGAGAGAGGAGATGCAACTCGGCGCGATGACCCATAGCACGCATGCGGCGCTTATGATATTCTGCTCGGTACAACTTCCCGCCGATCGGACGCTCTTCTCGCGGTCGCGGGAGCTGGCGAGGCAACCAACCAGGCGTCGAGATGAAGAGACGATCGATGTATGACTCTGAGTTGCCGGCCTTTTCGTAACGCTCTGGAGCGTCGCACTCCACCTCCACGAGCTCCGAAAGAGCTTGCCGCCAGACCGCAGCACGGGCGCGGCGCTGGCGGGCAGTGCGGTGCACTGCTGCCCGCGGCACCTGCAAGCTCACCACCTCCTCGGAGGCGAAGCTGAAGTCCCCGATGACAACAACCATTCCATCGGCGGGGTCTCCCGCGGCGAAGTCATTCGCGAAGAGAATGGCACGCGCGACCTGCGACGCCTGCTCAACGCACAGCTGGCGGTCGCGCACGCTGAAGATGTCAAGCTGGACGCCCCTAGCCACCACATTGACGCGGAGGACCCGCCCAACCGAAAGAGGAACAGCACGACTGCGAAACGGGCGGCCGTCACGCTGACCCAGCTCAGGAAGTAGATCAGCCGCGCCTCCACGAGACCCCCCCCCCAGGCGAATCGCCGCAGAACGAGGCGCGGACGGCGACCGAGCTCGAAATACTACGCACGAAAGCTTGCAATTGAATTACAGATTCCCGCACCTCCTACAGCGAAATGATGCTAGAGTTCACCTTGAGCTTCTCCCACGCCGCCCGCGTCATGAGATGAACACCTGAACAGCCCCAAGAGGTCAAAGGAACTACAGCGGCTCAGCACGAAGTGCAACCACATGCCAGGCGATCTGCACCAAGTCCTCCTTGTGCAGGTCATGGCTCCGAAAGGCGGCCTCGTCCCACACGAGCTTGGTGGGGTTGTCGCCAGCCTCGACCAAAACCCGCAGCACCCTGTCACAAACGATGGAGAGGACACCGCGCTCGCGGTCGCTGAAGAGGCGTAACTGGGGGTGAGCCGCGGGGACGGCGGCCCTGTACCGTCGGAGAGCAACTTCAGTTTGGATTTGACGAGGGTTTTTGTCAGGCCCCAGATGCATCCGCCCCCGCTCAGCCCAAGTGCATTGACTGAGAATTCCTTCCATACGCCATCAACATGCACATGAGAAAGCACACGCAGCACTTTGCGGGAAGCGACCGCCACCAGACCATGAAATTTGAGGAGGAAGCGCTTCGACGGGGACTGCCCAACAGCACGGAACTCATACTAGTCATTGCCACGGCCGAGATCCTGCAGCCAGGGCTGGAGCGCCTCCGAAACGAGCTGCACCGTGGCCGCGCTCTGCACCATGATGACAACGAGGGACGCGTCCACGTCGCGATCGAAGCCGCTGGGGACCTGGAGCGGGGCGCGCGGGCGGCCCTCCGCCACAGCGAGGCAGTCCCTGAGCTCCTGCACCCGGCGTTGGAAGTCCGAGATGTCGTTCTCGGCGGACTCGAGGCGGCCGCCGTGGTCCGCGAGGGTGCGGGTGTGGGTGCCAATCTGAGCTTGGAATCGACGCGATGCTTCATCCATCTGCGTGCGCACCACTCCCATGATCTGCTGGTCAAGCCGACCAGGCAGCCCAGTTCAGCACAAAGCCTGTCCACAACCCCCAAGACCGTGTCATTGGAGGACTGGACAGTGACCGGCACGGCGGCCTTGACCAACGCGCCGAACTCATCCTTGTCATCGTCGAGCATCGGGCGGGAGATGTCCCTGCACACCTGCCGCACGAAATCGTCAGACATGAACTAGTCGTCGGCGTCGTCGGCATCATCAGCTCCGTCAGCGGCGGCTCGCTTGCGAGGAACGAAGTTGCCAGCAGTCGTCGCGGCAGCACCGTCCAGAGACTTGCCGCCAGAAGCTTTGCCTTCACCCGCACCAGAGGCAACGGCCTGCGAGGGGAAGGTCGGGCACACGCCGAGACCATCAGCATCCTGCGACGAGAGCTGTCGTGCCTTGTCGCGCGCAGGACACGACTGTAGAGAGGAGAGGCTGCCACGATGCGGGGCCTCGCAACAGTAGTCGGAATGGCTCCACCGGGAGCTCACAATTCGAAGAGCCTGCCCCAAGGTTCACGAGACGCGGGCCGAGCCTGAGGGCAGGCTCGCGCTGACCTGGCCAGCTGCCTCGACAGATGGCAACGTGAGCCAAAATGACTACGGAGGAGGAGGATGATAGCGTGGAACGGAGGCTGATGAGGATGAGGAGGGAACAGCAGAGAGCAGGATGAATGGAGAAGGGAAAACACCGCGCGCTCGCCTTCTTCAAGTGCCGTCGCAAGTGCCGGCGGTGGTGCGGGTCGTCCAGATGGCGGCCCTGCTCGAGCTCCAACTCGTGCTCCCTGCGTGTCAGGGGGGGAGCGAGAGCCCTGCGGCTAACTAGCAGGCAGGGCTCACTCCGACTCCTCCGACCCGAGTCGGCTCGATGTCGATCGATTCCGATTCCGATTGTTGACTCGACTTCGGATTCCGACTAGGGCCTCGGAGTCTCGGTGGAGGCTTTGCTAGCCTGCCTATGTCCACCGAGCCGGCTTCTTCTCGCGACCGGATTCCGACTGGGGCTTCGATTCCGATTGTTGACTCGACTTCGGACTCCGACTAGGGCCTCGGTGTCTCGGTGGAGGCTCTGCTGGCCTGCCGATGTCCACCGAGCCGGCCTCTCCCGACCGGGCTGCGGGGAAGGGGCCCTGGTCCACGGGGGGCGCGTCCTGGTCCCCAGGGCCTCCAGACGGGCCGCAAGAGTTTTGCAGGATGGGCCAGGAAAGCCCAAGGACGATCCGGCAGGGCCCCAGGACGGCCCCATGAAAGCCCAAAGAGAGCTCGAGATGGCCCCAGGACACCCCCGGAAGCACCCTACGTCGGGATCCGACGATGAGGGAAACCGCGAGTGGCCTCGAGAAGCCCCCAGAAGCTCCCGAAATGCTCCCAGGAGGCCTCCAGCGGCTCCCAAGATGCCCCCAAGAAGCCTTCGAGGGGCCATTTAGAAACCTCCCAATGAGAAGCTTCCGCCAAAACATTGAGAGAGGAGGACGGGGAAGGACTCACAGGAAAGGGCGAGAACGAAGAAGTGGAACAAGGAACAGGAAGGCAGGGAGAACAAGGATCATGATGAGAACAACGAGAACAAGAACGGGGACAATCATATAATTTGAGTTGTGTTTGCTCTCGGTTTCTCTGTCTCTCTCTCTCTCTCTCGCTCGCTCGCTCGCTCTCCCTCTCTAGTTTCCATATGTGTATCATTCCGCCTGCACTAGAAACATCGCGCGCGTTTCGCGCGCGCTCAAGATCTACTTGCCATGGGGCCAAGCGTATAGCACATCAGAGGGGCCGTGTCCAGATGATCGGGTCCTTGGCTTGGAAGCGCACGCGTTGGTGCCTGAAGTCGCATTGAGGCTTGGTGATCGCGAAGTCCCCGGCCATCCGTAAGGCAATATTGCACCTCTCTTCGGGATCAGTTTGGCCTCCGAGGCAATACTCGACCCACACTTTCGCAACAAACAGGAAGTCAAAAAAAAACACGTTGGGATTCCTTTTGGTTTGATTGGTTTGGCCCTCTTGGGAGCCCTGTGTGGGCACTCTGGCGGCCTCTTGGGGGCTCATTGTACTGCTGGAGACTTCTTGGGGCAGCCCGTCGTGAGGCCCTCTTGGAACTTTTGCTCAGCTCTGGGAGTCTCCTCGGGGAGCTCGGAGCAGGGCGAGGAGGGAGTCGGGAGGAGGAGGAAGGGGAGGAGGAAGGGGATGAGAGAGCAGGGAGGAGAAGGACGAGGAAGGAGCAGGAAGGAGAGAGGAGAATGAGGAGGAAGCAGAAAGGCGAAAAGAGGCAGGGGGAGTGAAAACGGGAGGGAGGAGAGAGACGGAGAAGAGTGGAGGAAGGAGAGAAGGCAGCAGGGAATGAAGGACAGCAACAGGGTGAGAGAGATGAGGAAGGCGGGAGAAAAACGACAGGAGGAAGCAGGGGAGAGGAGGGAGGGGGGGAGGATTAGGGAGGAGGAGGAGGAGGAAGGAGGAGGAAGAGGAGGGAGGGAGGAGGAGGAGGAGGAGGAGGCAGGAGGAGGAGAAAGAGGATGAGGAGGAGCGAAACAAAAAAAAAAAAAAAAAAAAAAAAACGCTTGTAGATTTCGTGTTGCATACGTTTTGGAATGGAAGCGTCTTCGGTGGGAGGCGCGCAAGGAGTATCTTGCAGTCTCTACGGAGGCCGCTCGGGGGACTGATGAGGGCCACTTGGGCGTCTACAGGACATGAAGGAGAGCAAGAGTGAGATGAGGAAAGCGGGAGGGAGAAGGGAGGAGGAAGCAGGGGGAGGAGGGATGAGTGGGGCATGGAGAGGGGGAAGAGGCAGGAGGTGGAGGAGAAAGAGGAAGAGAAAGAGGAATGAGGGGAAGAGTGTTTCCATACTTCCGGAATAGAAGTGTCTTCGATTGAAGGTCTGCAGAGTATCTTGTAGTCTTCACGTTGACCGCTAGGGAGGCCTCTCGCTTGCCTTGTAAGGGTTTCCTGGGGGCCTCGTGGGAGCCTTTCGGGGGCCTCTTGGAAGCCTCCGGGGGGCCTCTTGGGGCCATCTTGGCACCGAGAGCGTTCAGGGGGCCTCTAGGGAGGCTCCAGGGGGCTCCTGGGGCCTTCGTGGAGCTCTCTTGGGGTTTTCTTGGGGACCTCTTGGGGCCTATTGGGGGCGTCTTGGGGGCCTCTTGGGGGCCTCACGGGCTGTCCTTGGGCGTCTTGAGGGCCGTCTTGGGCCCGTGTTGGGAATCTCTTGGGGCTATCTTGGACGATTTGGGAGTCATCGAGAAGCTTCAAGATCCGATCCGAAGCGAAAAGGCGAGAAAGAGAGAGAGAGAGAGACACACACACACACACACACACATTGAGAAACACTATGCTTTTGAACGATGTTGAGCCCTCGGGAGCGCTCTTGCGAAGCTCTGGGGCCACTTCGAAGCCACCTTGCAACTGTCAAGAGGTCCTCTTGGAGCTTCTGTGGAGCTCTGGAAGCCTCCTGGGGAGCCCAGGGGCTTCGGGGGAACCTTTTGGGTCCTTCTACGAGCATCTTTGAAGCTCTGGGAGTCTCCCGAGGCAGCTTAGGGAGGCCCTGGGGAAGCTCCCGGAAGAGAGGGGGCCCTTAATGCACCCTTGGGGCTTATGGTGGCCTTTGGCCCCTGGGCACCCACGGCCGCGTTTCTGGTATGTGAGATGTTGATGTATACATGTATAGATCTACACATACATACATACACACATACACACATACACACATACACACATACACACATACACACATACACACATACACACATACACACATACACACATACACACATACACACATATATACATACATACATACATACATACATACATACATACATACATACATACATACATACATGCATGCATGCATGCATGCATGCATACATACATGCGTTCATACATACCTACACACATACATACCTACCTACTACTACCTACATACATACGTACTACATACATACATACATATACATACATGCATGCATGCATGCATGCATACATACATACATACATACATACATACATACATACATACACATGCATGCATACATACATACATACATACATACATACATGCATGCATACATACATGCATGCATGCATGCATGCATGCATGCATACATACATACATACACTCATACATATATACATGCATGCATGCATGCATGCATGCATGCATGCATGCATGCATACATACATACATACATACATACATACATACATACATACATACATACATACTAGAACTACGCGCGCGCTTCGCGCGCGCTTGGGTTCTAGTCACCCCCGCGACCACGCTCAACACCGCCAATGCCGCCACGGCTACCACCGACCTTTCCGCCCTCACCGCAGTCACGACCACTTCTGATTCCATGTCTATTCTGGGCATGACCACCACGTCCACAACGATTGCACTTTCCACGACCACTATAACGGCCATTGGTTCAACCTCTGCCTGTACAACCACCAACACCACTACCATTGCCACTGCCACTGCCGCGAATCCACGACCACTATCATTACCACCACGGCAAGTGCCACCGCCACGACCATCCTCATCATCGGCAGGACCACAATCGGCGCACGAACTGAAGCCAATTGCAGCCATCACCACCACGACCCCTCCAGGGCTCTCCTGGGGACGTTCTCTGGGCCCGTTGGCGCTGTCTTGGGAGCCTTTTGGGGCTCTCTTGGAGCCCTCTTGGGCCGTCTTGGGGCTCTGATGAGATGTCTTGGGGCCCTCTTGGGCCGTCTTGGAGCTCTCTTGGCCGAATTGGGGATCCCACTGCTTCTTCTCACGTCCTCGTTATTCAGTGTTCATTTCCCTGCGCCTTTGCTCGCTTCCTCGCCCTTCCTCCCCTCGTCCTTCTGCGCACTTTTCCTGCTCAGCCTTCCCTCTTCTTCCTCCTCGTCCTGATTTTTTCTGCATCTTCCCTCTTTCCCCCTGCTCCTCCTCCCTTCCTCCTCCTCCTTCTCCCTCCCCCTCGCGTGGATCTCCGCTGGAGAAACCTCCAGAAACTCTGGGAGGCCAGGTTCGTCTGGGGCGTTTCGGGGGCCTTTTGGGGCCTCCTTGGGACCTCTGCGCGCTCGAGGTCGCGGTCCCGAGCCCCCAGTCGTAGCTAGGCTTGATCGGCCAACTCGTGTAATATCATTTTGGTCGCTTCCTACGTCCAGGGACTCCCTTGGAGGCCCTGCGCAAGCCTCGGAATCGTATAGAAGGGGAAGTGCGGAAACGCAGAAATCATTCATTAATTTCCTTTGGGTATTCAACGATTTGAGGCCCTCAAAGGCTTACTGCGCTTTTTGGGGGGAGGTGAGGGGGTCTGAATTGTGGTCTGTGCAAGAGTAGACCAGGGGCCAAACTTGAAAAACAAAAAAAAACAAAAAATGAATTGTGGGATTTCCAATTTTTTCCAGCTCCTCGGCGCTGTTCGGCGCTGTTGTTTGTTTATGCCTCGCGGGTTTTGTTAACCGGGCCCCTCAGGGGTGTGGCTTCTGGACCCCCTGGGGGTTCTGGAGGCCTCCTGGAGGCCTGGAGAGCCGTCGGAAGGGCGTCTCAGGCTGCTGCTCTTGGGCCGATTTTGGGCCTGTTCTGGGATAGTCTGGGGCTGTCCTGGGCGCCTCTTTGGCAGTCTTGGAGCCTTCTTGGCTCGTCTTGGTTGGGGCCGTCCTGAGGGTCTCATGGGTGGTCTTGGGGCGGTCTTGGGAGCCTCTTCGGCGCTCTTGGACCATTGGAAGCTCGAAAACGCGAGAAGCCAAAAACATTGCAAAAACAAATGGGAATCGACGATTTGGGCCTCTTCGGGCCGTCCCGGAACACCTCTCGGACCTCTCTTGGGGTCTCTTGGAGGCCACCTGGGAGCCTCGAGAGCCGTCCGAAGGCTGACTTGGGCTGCTTGGGAACGTCTTGGACCATCCTCGACCGGCTTGGGTGCCTCTTGGGCCGTCTTGGATGCAGTGGACGCCCAAAAGGCAAACACGCCAAAAATATCAGTTTTCCGAAAAAGGAAATCGGCGATTTTTGCTTATTGGGCCACTCTCGGGGTGCCTCTTGGCCTCTTGGGGCATCTTCGGAGCCTCTTTTGATGTTTTTTCGGGTCTCGTGGGGGCCTCTTGGGGCTTCTGGGCCCCTTCTTGGCGCCTCTTGGGGTCTCCTAGGGGTCTCTTGGGCCAAAAGGCCAGAATTTCCAGTTCCTCGTCCCCGTCTTGGGCGCCGCCTTGGGGCGTTCTTGGGCGGTTTGGGCGCCTCGTGGGCCATATTGGCCCCCTCGTGGGCCGTCTTGGGGCCCTCTTGGGGGCATCCTCCACCAGCTTGGGCGCCTCTTGGGCCGTCTTGGATGCAGTGGACGCCCAAGAGGCAAACACGCCAAAAATATCAGTTTTCCCATAGGAAATCGGCGATTTTGCTTATTGGGCTCTCTCGGTGTGCCTCTTGGGGCGTCTTCGGGGCCTTCGGGGACCTTCTTGGCGTCATGGGAGTCGTCTTGAAAAGCGTCTGGAGCCATCGCTGCGGCCTCCTGGGGCCTCCCTGCAGCCCCTTGGGGGCCTGTTGGCCCCGGGCCGCCGAAACCCCGTAAAAACATAGGGAAAACGACGCCCGGCACCCCCATGCCCTGTCGAGGTCGCGGTCCCGGGCGCCCTGGCCTAACGACGCCCGGCACCCCCATGCCCTGTCGAGGTCGCGGTCCAGGGCGCCCCAGCCTCATATATGTATGTATGTATGTATGTATGTATGTGTATATATATATATATATATACATACATACATACATACATACATACATACATACATACATACATGAATGCATACATACATATATACATATATACATATATATATATATATATATACATACATACATGTATACATATACACATATGCATATACATGTGCAAATACATATGCCTATACATATGCATATGCATATACATATACATATACGTATACATATACATATACATATACATATACATATACATATACATATACATATACATATACAAATACAAATACAAATACAAATACATATACATATACATATACATATACATATACATATACATATACATATACATACACATATGCATGTACGCATACATATATATACATATACATAAACATATACATATACATATACATATATATATATACATACACATACACATATACATATATATATATACATATACATAGACATGTACATGTACATATATATACATATACATATACATATGCATGTACATATACACCTAAATTCATATATGTATACAAATACATATACATATACATATACATATACATATACATATACATATACATATACATATACGTATACATATACGTATACATATACATGCATACATACGACATACATACATACGTACCTGCATACATACATACATACGTCCATGCATACATACATGCATACATACATACGTGCATGCATACATACATACATACATGCATGCATGCAAGCATGCATGCATGCATACATAAATCCATACATACATAACAATAGTTGTATCTGCACATATATAATTATATATATGTGTGTGCGTGCATGCATGCATAGATGCATGTGTATATGTAGATACGTGTGTGTATGTGTGCATATGTATATATGTATATATGTGTGCATGTATGTATTTATGTATGTCTGTCTGTGTGTATGTATGTATGTATGTATTTATGTTTGTATATTTGTATGTAAATTGACTCCAGGGACCTGTGGTGCTTGTGGTCGAGCTCAACCTTGTACGTCACCCAGACGCTGAGAAAGTGCGCAGTGGCCGCCGAGAAGGCCACGCACGTCGTCCACAAGCCCATCTTCGCGTGCGAGAGCGCCTGCTCCGGAGTCTGCGCCGCCGCTGGCTCGTGACCACCAAAAGAAGTTGGCTGCGACGGTCCCAGAGGGGGGCTGAGCCTTCACGGGGGGACGCCATGAATCGGGGAACTAGAGGATCACAATACGGAGTAAACATAAACTTTCGGAGCTCCGCGCAGATTTCTTGCATCGGCACTTGGACCCCCCTGGCGGCGCCTCTGGCGCCGCCCCTGGCGCGATCCGCGCGCCAGGAAAATAGGTCCAGCGCCGATCCAAGAGATCCGTGCGGACCTCAAGCATATTTCCCAAACAGAGCTTGGTCCTACTTCCTACGAAAGAACTGAGACTGCGGGCCGGTTGGGCGGCTATATTGTCGCCGTCGCCGCCCCGTCGCCGCCTCGTCGCCGCCCGTCGTCTGGGTCTGCAGGCGGATTTCGTGACAGTGTTGTCGCCACTGCCGCCCCGTCGCCGCCTCGTCGCCGCCTGTCGTCTGGGTTTGTGCGTCGGTTTGCCGGCTATGCTGTCGCCGTCGCCGCCCCATCGCCGCCGGCCGCCTCGTCGCCGCCAGCTTCGGATTGTTTCGCATTGTTTTGTATTGTTTTGCGTGGCTCTGCTTCGCATTGCTTGGTATTGCTTTGCATTGGTTCGCGTTGCTTTGTATTGTTTTGCACTGGTTCGCGTTACTTTGCACTGTTTTGAACCATTGCACTGGAATAGCACTGCCTTGTAATCGCATTGCATTGCACTGCTTCCAACAGCATACCGCATGGATTGCAAACATAGCATACACCACATAGGTTGCACCACAAAGTTTGCACCGCGTACATGACACCATCATCATATGGCACCACATAACATACACCACATCTAGGATCAACCAAGCTAATTACACTGCATGTTTTGCACCACAAAGGTTGCGCCACATAGACGGCTTAACATACGTGTTGCACCACAGAAGTTGCTCCACATAGTTCGCACTGTCTTGCAATCGTATTGTATCGCACTGTTTCCTACAGCACACCACATGGATTGGAATAAACACTATGCACCACATAGATTGCACCACATAAGTTGAGCACGTAACTCGCACAACATGTATTTTCCTTTTCGGCGATCTATAATTTCTACCACCCTCCCCCCCCAGACTCAAAGACTCACCTCTTCGTATTGCAATTTACACATGATTCTGCCCCATCGCCCATCCGAATTCAGAAACAACTCGTACTATCCCAGCCAAACCGGTATCGCCACCCCCCCCCCCGCCACCCTCTGGAAAAAAACCTATGCGCGCGCACCCGTTTATCAAAAATCATAAAATTGCAAAAACAAGTTTGCAAAGCATGGAACGACATGCCCACGCGCGCGTCGTCGCGCGCATGCCGAAATCCTGCAAAGCCTTCGGTTTTAGAACAATGTTCAAAATTGAGCAACACAAACGCGTGCCTTCTTGCCAACTCTTGACAAAACCATCGGTTTCAAACATTTCCACGACATGCTTCCACACAGGCTTCGCGCGCGCATATCAAAATCGTTCGAACACCCTTGCGCGCGCGCTGGGGTGGCATGATCCGTGTCAAATAATACCATGAGAGCAATTATCCCGCTTCTGCCGCGCGCATTTCGAAATCCAAAACCTTCATCACCGACGCGAAGACGCCGTCATCGTCGTCGGCGCGATCAGCATCGGCGCCCTCGCTGGCTGCCCCGACGTCGCTGTCAGCATCGTCACCAGCATCGCTGATATCATCATCGTGTCTACCGTTGTCGACGTTGCCATGGTACCGCGGCCGCCCAAGTCGCCGGCTCGCACTGAAATGCCCGCTGGGATGTCCCGAGCGGTCAGCGCCACCGCGGCTGCGTCGGTCGCGACAAACTAGCCGGCCGCTGCGCGCGCGAGCATGCGCGGGCTAGCGCGGCCGCAGAGATGCAACAGCCAACGCCAAACACTCATCGCAATCGCTCCTGCATGGGATTTGCAAACCAAGTTGCGGGCGGGCGGGTGGAATGTTTGCGCGAGCAGTGGAATGGACAACTTCAAGTTGAGCATTGGATTGCACCACATGCGCACCGCGCACGCTGCGCCACATAGCCCTTTTTCACACATGCCCGGGATGGTTTCGCGACAAGCAACCTCACGACAAGGAAGAGACTGATGCACGACGAGCAAACCCACGTTCGCCACCCACTTTCGCCACCCACTTTCGCCACCCACTTTTGCCACCCACTTTCGCCGCCCACTTTCGCCGCCCACTTTTGCCGCCCACTTTCGCCGCCCGCTCTCGCAACCCACTTTCGCCGCCCACTTCCGCCGCCCACTTTCGCCACTCACTTTCGCCGCCCACCCTTGCCGCCCACGTTCGCCGCCCACCTCCGCCGCCCACTTTCGCCGCCCACTTTCGCCGCCCACTTTCGCCAGCCCCCGCCCTCGCCGCCCACTTTCGCCACCCGCTTTCGCCGCCCACTTTCGCCGCCCACTTTCGCCGACCACCCTTGCCGCCCACGTTCGCCGCCCACTTTCGCCGCCCACATTCCCCGCCCACTCTCGCCACCCACTTTCGCCGCCCACTTTCGCCACCCACAGTCGCCGCTCACTCTCGCCGCCCACCTTCGCAACCCACTTTCGCCGCCCATTTTCGCCGCCCACATTCACGCCGCCCACACTGTCGCCACCCACACTCTCGACGCCCACGTTCGCCACCCACTTTCGCCGCCCACTTTCGCCGCCCACCTTCGCCGCCCACTTTCGCCGCCCACTTTCGCCACCCACATTCGCCGCCCAGTTTCGCCGCCCACGTTCGCCGCCCACTTTCGCCGCCCACTTTCGCCGCCAAAGTGGGCGGCGAACGAAAATAAGCGGGGAACGAAAGTGGGCGCCGAACGAAAGTGGGCGGCGAGCGAAAATGAGCGGCGAACGAAAGTGGGCGGCGAACGAAAGCGGGCGGCGAGCGAAAATGAGCGGCGAACGAAAGTGGGCGGCCAACGAAAGCGGGCGGCGAACGAAAACGAGCGGCGAACGAGAGCGGGCGGCGAAGGAAAGTGGGCGGCGAACGAAAGCGGGCGGCGAACGAAAATGGCGGCGAACGAAAGCGGGCGGCGAACGAAAGTGGGCGGCGAAAAGAAAGGCGGCGAAAAGTGGGCGGCGAACGAAAGCGGGCGGCGAACGAAAATGGGCGGCGAACGAAAGCGGGCGGCGAACGAAAGTGGGCGGCGAACCAAAGTGCGCGGCGAACCAAAGTGCGCGGCGAACGAAATCGGGCGGCGAACGAAGGCGGGCGTCGAACGAACGTGGGCGGCGAACGGAAGTGGGCGGCGAACGAAAGTGGGCGACGAACGAAAGAGGATGGCGAACGAAAGTGGGCGGCGAACGAAAGCGGGTGGCGAACGAAAGCGGGAGGCGAACGAGGGCGGGTGGATGGCGAGCGAAAGCAGGCGGCGAACGAAAGTGGGCGGCGAACGAAAGTGGGCGGCGAACGAAAACGAGCGGCGAACGAAAGCGGGCGCGGGCGGCCAACGAAAGTGGCGCGCGAAAATAAGCGGCGAACGAAAGTAGGCGGCGAACGAAAATTGGCGGCGAACGAAAATGGGCGGCGAACGCAAGCGGGCTGCGAACGAAAGTGGGCGGCGAACGAAAGTGCGCGGCGAACGAAAGTGGGCGCCGAACGATAGTGGGCGGCGAACGAAAGTGGGCGGCGAACGAAAGTGGGCGGCGAACGAAGGTGGGCGGCGAACGAAAGCGGGCGGCGAACGGGCGGCGATTTTTTCGTTCCGTCTCCAATTTTCGCTTCGCCTCTCACTTTCGCTTCGCCTCCCACGTTCGCGTCGCCCCTCGCGTTCGCTTCGCCTTCCATTTACGCTGCGCCTCCCACTTTCGCTTCGCACCTCACGTTCGCTTCGCATCCCACGTTCGCTTCGCCCCCCGCGTTTGCGTCGCCTCTCGCGCTCGCTTCGCCCCCCACTTCCGTTTCGTTTCTCGCGTTCGCTTCGCCTCCCACTTGAGATTCGCTTCCCACGTTCGCTTCGCATCTCACGTTCGCTTCGCATGTCACGTTCGCTTCGCCCCCCACGTTTGCTTCGCCTCTCGAATTCGCTTCGCCTCCCACTTTCGCTTCGTTACTCACGTTCGCTTCGCCCCCACCCCCACCCCCCCCCCTCTTCCTGGGCGCCCCCCGTTCGCTGCCCCCCGCCCCCTCTTGGCGGGGGCGGCCTAGACTGATTACACACCCTCGGCCTTGGTGGTTTTGGGGGTTCTGGGGACTTCACCACCCCATCCCCGCCGCTGCTGGTGGCTTCCCTGTAGCGTCGCTGAGCGGCGGCGGTCTTCGAGATCCGTCCTCGTCGTTTCGATATCATTCTGGCATTATCGATCATCGGCATTGTCCAGCGCAGCTCCCTGCCCCTGCCGTTACCTCCCATCCACTTCCCCCATGCAGGTGCGCGACGGCATCGTGGCCCGCGTCGCCTTTTCCGACTCCGCGCCTCGACGCCACGGATGGATGCGATTCAGGGCGGCACGGGGGGGCCCGAGGGCCCGCTGCTGCGGGGCCGCAGTTGGCAACCGGGTCTCTCGTTTTTAGCTGTTCGGGGTTGCGTTTGGCAACGAGGCCTTCGGGCTTTTGATTTTGGGCCGCACTTGGCAATTAGGCCCCTGGGCCTTGGCAGCCCCAGGTCGGGGTTGCAATTATACAACCAGGCCTGTGGGCGCGGAGCTCCCCGGCGCGGGTTTGCAACTGCGGTCTTTGCACCGGGGCGCCCCGTCGCCATGCTGACACCATGTCGGGGCCCTGCACGCGGGAACAAAGAAGGAGGAGGACGACGACGACGAGAGGGGGACGGGGACGGGGGGGAAGGAGGAAGACGATGGGCGGAGGAGGAGGAGGACGACAACGAGAAGAGGAGGCGAGGGATGAGGAGGAGCAGGAAGAGGAGGAGGAGAGGACTGACGATTGGGACGCGCAGACGACACATTCACGGCAACAATTATTTGGAGGCGCTCTCGCCGGGGGGTCTCCTCGGCCGCCTCTCTGGAACAGTGTCACATTATTGTGCGCGCGGCCAGATCATTCGTGCAACCTTACCTTGCAATCACACTACCTTCTGACACTATCTATCGTATAGCATCACCTTGCCGCGCTACCACCCTGTGCGTTACCCTCGCCACCTCGCACTATTCTCTCATATTCCCGCCAAGCATGTCATTGCATCATCTGTTCGTGACATGTTAGTCTGTCATATGCCATCTTGTCCATATCGCATCATCTCGCCATACGGCGTTACTACCTAGGCCCATGAACTTGCAATGGAATCCCAATAATTTG